GTTCAGTGCCGGGTGGCTGGGCAGCTGCCCGGGCATGGGGCAAAGTGAGGCTGAGGAAGAGGAACCTACTTGACGGATATTGCGTTAGCACTGATATTTCCATGTTCTCCTGGAGGAATTTTCTCTTGCCACGCTGCAGAAATCCCGACAGCAATTCAACAAGAAAATGCAAATAAGGTCACTGCTTCCCTGCGGGACTGCAGGATGCCTGGGGAGAAATCCGTGTCCTTGCTCGGCAGGAGCATTAGTTCAGCTACATGTGCTTTTATTCTAAAATAACGCTATGTGGCTTTGGGTTTGTTGGGGTTTTTTTTATTTGTTTTATGCATGATTATTTCTGCTTTTTTTCTGCTCAAGCCCCACGAGCATTACAATTAACTATTAAAATTATTCAGCTCCCACTGCTGGCTGGTTCTTGGGGGGCTGGGTTATAACGCAAAGGCACGGCTACGCGTTCAGGTGCCATGATCTCAGGCTTACCGTAGCCTGGAAGTAAGCAGAGTTACAGTGGTCGTTTCTGCCCCACCTTCTGCCCACTGCCCGCATCCTCACTGCTTCTTCCTGCCCTCTCCTGGTAGCCACAGCAGTTGTGAGGAGGGCAGGAGAGAGCCACTTCCACATCCACATCCCTGTGGATGGAAAGTGATGACAAGGAGGAAGAACTGCACTCGAGATTATCTTCGTGACAAGCGGTGCCGACTGAATAGAAAGATGTCTAAAATAAAATGGATGGGGTAGCAGTGTTTACCCACAGACTTTTTTTTCCCAATCCAAACTTGCCTTACTTCCTTGCTTCTTTCTCTGAAGAAAAAAAAAAAATAAAAAAAAAATCAGAGCACATAGGGGAATTAAACAGGGTAAAGCGCAACATTAGTCCCCCCGCAGAGCTTAGTCTCCTTATGCTGCCGCTGTATGTATTGCGGCTGAGGCCAGTCAATAACTGTCGGTCCTTCATTTCTGGACAATGGGCGATTTTCCTCTCTTTTCACAGAACTCAGTTCATTTTTAGATTTACAGAGGTGTATTGTTGTGTTTTGCTCTGTTCTGCTGCCCGCACACAGGAGTCATTACCTCCCATTGAGCCCCCCCAGCTCAGAGCTCACTGTGCTTGTGTCCTGCAGCGGGTGGGTTACAGCAGAGGGACCCAAAAACCCCCATTGCCAGCCTCTGGCCAGGGGACAGACCCGGCTGCACACACGCATGGGCACGTGCACACACACTCTTTACAAGTGCATTCCTTCAAGACTTGTCTGCTCTTGTAAAATTTATGACTTGGTGAAGGAGAACGAACTTACACTATTTTGCAACCTAACATCTGATGATTATTATTTTTCTTGCAGGTTTGCAAATGGTTTCCCATTAAAATCAGTGGCAAATATTCAGTAATTATTTTTTTTAATGCCAAATAGGCTGAAGTAATCCTGCGAGTTATTTGTGAGTCATAACTACATGGTGGTGCTAAATGTGTCCAGCACCGCCTAAGAGAAGGCCAGGCTGGATGAGGCGTTGTCCCAAGGACAAGCACTGATGCGTTCTGCCAGCAGTGGTGCTTGAGTCCTGTTGGCATAGCTGCCGCCTTAGATGTCTTTGGAGATGAGCAGCTGAGCGGTGTTTATAAACATGTTAATGTAATAGGGACTAGAAAAGAGCCCAAATGTACATGTTAAATTTGCGTCTGGAGTCTCCTCTACACTTTCCCAAATGGGATACCCACGCAGTGCTGGAAGGGGAATAAAACTGAGTGGAATGCGTCGCTGCCTTATAACATCACATCAACGTG